ACAGACTAGTTTTCCCACTCATTTCTTGCAGAATCGGTATTGAATGCATGCAAAATTTTCAGTGAAAGTTGGTTTACTTAATAAGCCTCTAAATTAATTAGGCCAAGCCTAACAGCTTTTCCACATTCAGAGAGGAAAGTTTCGAACAGCCCCTTTCCCTGGCTGGGGAACTCAGCAGTGACTGCACACACCATCATGCAATATGTAGCAGTTCAGTCATCAAAGAGCATAAGCCTTCTCTAATTTTCCTGCTAGGAGCTGCTGTGGATTATTTTCCTCTTTCATCTCTGTACAGAGGATGATAGCATGTCTTCAGTTTAAATTTTAGAAATTAAGTTAGGGAGAGGAAATAGAAAACTTGATTTTTTAAAAAATACTTCTATGGTGAGTTTGCATGTGAACTTATTTACAGTTTGGGATAACTGTAAGAGCAAGAAATGAAAAATACATTTCATCTTAATTCTTAGCTGTTTAAACTAGCCTGTTGCTACCCAAATCACTACGTGCTATATTGTCTTTCTATATTTTTTAGGAACGAAGAACAAGAATGCAATCATTTGCATGTTATTCCTTTGTAGTTACAGTTGGTTTTAAAGTATATCAAGGCAGCTGATCACAGTCTCACTGAGAAAGTAGTTATTGATTTATGATCTAGTATCTATCAAACTTAAATGAATCTGCTCATTGACAATAAGTACCCAAAATTAATTCTAGTCAGTTATATAAAAGACATCGCTTGGGTTGTGAGTCTTGTTTGAGGGCAGCCATAATAGTGGATAATGTTGCTGACTTCTGAAGAGAACAACTGGTTTTACAGCTCCAGTATTTCTGAGGCTTAGTCAAGAGTACATTTACGGTATGACAGTTCATTTTGTGAAAGTTAGAGGTTTGTTAGTATTCTGCTGAAACAAATCCAGAATCATGTGATGGCTGTCTGGGATCTCCTACATCTCACAGCAGTGCTCCAACCATCAGGTGACAGGTTGCAAAATTCACCTTTTGTTTTCCTCTGGTAAGAAATTCACTGAAACAGAAATATTTTCTTTTTCTGCAGAAAGCATTTGGCATCAGCTAAATGGAATCTTGATGAAAGAAAAAAAAAAAAAAAACAAAAAAAAGTAGCCAGAAATATTTGACCTTAGCCTTAGTCTCCTAAGTACCATAGGATTTTTTTAAGATAGATATTTATAGCATAAACTCAAACTGGACTGGATTTTGAATAATGTAGAAATCACACAATTAATTTTTTTGATTCATTGTATCAATGTTTGTTTTATAGGTAGGAAGGTGTTTTCAGTTCCTAATTGATATCTGCATTTCAAAAAGATGTTTATTGTTTTATAAAAATATATCCATTAAAGCTGTGAGGTACTGATCTAGAGCATCAGATAAGGAAAAAAAATCAATATATGGCCAATTCATTTATATACACAAAGCACTTCTCTCAAAATATCTCCTGTAAGTAACATCTCCTGTGAAGGAAGAACAATTAAATGCTTAATGTAAAAGTTCTTCAGCTGAGCAATATCTTATCCAGTATCATGCTTCCTAGCACTCTTAACAGAGTTAGTGTTTTTAAAAGTATTTACAATTATAAGGGTATCTTTTGAGATACAGAAGGGTAAAATAAAAAGCTTTTGTCTGCGCTTGAGAGCTTAGTTTCCCAGTTCATCTCAGCAACTGACTGCCCTGTGAGGTCCCCCCAGCAGTGGGAAGAGGCTTGGATGAAAGTCCCTCAGGGAAGGGCTGCTGAGCCCTGGCACAGCCGATCGTGGTAGTGCAGCTGCAGAGGTATGTACCGAGTCGCTTGCCATCCCTCCTCTTCTTCCCACCTCTGCTTCAAGTCCACATGGATTGCGAAGCAAAGATGCGATCGAGGAGGCACTCATCCAAAGTCACATTGCCCGAATGCTTCTCCTGTCTAAGGAATTTTTTTTTTTAATGCCTCTCTACTCATTAGCCAGGGAAAAAGAATGAGGACTGATAAATTTGGATTCCATACTTACCACTTATTTGGTGGATAATAAACTCTGCAGTCAAAAGGGATGAGGGTAGTAGGTTAGAAGCCACGTGCAGTTCAAGGGCATATTTAGAAGAAGAAAGATCCATTGCCAATTCCACAGGGAAATCTTCATTCTCCTTCATTGTACTAGAGAAGGACATCCCAATTTATGACCTTGTGTCACAACTGTTACTTATTGGGGGGTAGAGTGGCTGATTACAGTGATTTGCATCTTGGGGCATTTTTCTGGGTTAAGTGGAAGTGTGCTCTTTGAGTCTAAAATTGTGTCTTAGAGCAAACTCCGAGTGGAAATTTTTCAAAAATACATTTTAGTGATTTTAACTGATTAAAAATAATAGACCCTCTGTAGCCAACACATATGTCATACTGTACTTTAAAGACACTGCAAATTGAAGGAAAAATGTGAAAAATTCAACAGTTCAGTATTAGAAAATTTTGCTATATTTTCAACCTTTTCTCTCTTAATCTTTTTTTCTCTGAAACTAATATTAAAATCTGGTATTAATCTTGCTACAGTAAATATGTGATGATATGAACATTTTTATTAATTTTTCCTGCTGGCTAACTATCATTGTTCTATTCATAAGTTCTTAGAAATTTCTCAATGTACTGGCTCTTCAAACGCAGTTACAGCTGGATTTGTGGCAATGATAGATTCTTTTCCATTTTTTTTTAATACTGTCTTATAAAACATCTCTAAAGAACAGAAATAATAGTACATTATTTCCACATCATGTGGAATGCCGTTCAGATTTTGTTGTCTCGCTCTGATTTTCCTGATTTTTTAGTTTTCCCTCATTTGATCTGATTTGAGCAGGTTGGAGGTTTGTTTTGAATTATTTTCTTAGTCAGTATGCATACCTTGGTTTTTTAATGTATGGGTTTAATTTATGTGGGGATCAAACACTATAGAAATGCTTTTCTTTCTAATGCTGTAAAATGGAAGAGACAGTTGAATTCAGCGATTCAGGCTGTGATTAAGCATTGCTTTCCTGCCTATGAAGACTTTGGACTTCTGATGTTTCAAGTTTGGAGCCTTTTAAAAGTAGGAAATCATGCATTGTTTGTTAAACAGTGGAAATCAGGATCAAAAGTATTATTTTATAAGTGAATATTAATATCTTTTATTTACCAAATTGAGAGACTAGACAATTGAGATATAAAATATAAAAAAGCAAGTAAAATGTTGAATTAATTATGCTTTCTCCCAAATCATGATCCTACATATTTGTGGAAAGATCTAGTTTTATATTATTTCTAACCTTCATAATGCAGTGTCTTTCTGATACAAGATTTACGCTAGACATTGTTCAATTGTACTATGTTTGACTTCATTGCTGTAGGACACTGCCACTGTAATATGGTAAATAATGGGTGCTAAATCATGTAAACATGGATCCCCTTGTTCAGATAGGCTGCTAACGCAAAGCTGAGTTATCCTACCCCCACTGTTGCTCTTGACCTTGATCACACCACCTTTCATGGACTCTTGTCATCTATTGCCTTTCGTGGCTCTAGCCTCTTTCACATCTTCTACTTTTCAGATTGCTTTTTTAGTGGTTCATTTAGTGCTTCGGCTTGGATCCTTTCTCCTCTTTGCCCTTTCCATTCTTCATTTACGTCCTTTACTGATTTCTGGCCCCCACACAATTTCAAACTTCTATGTTTATATGTGGGTTTTAAATCCACCTCTCTGCTTTTAATCTTTCTTCTTGTACAGACTCCCACATCTCATTTTTTTACTATTTATTCTGTAAACACAAAACTTACACCAAATTGCTCAATGCTTTTACTTGAAACTTCATGTTGTGCTAAAGTTGGCAGTGTCACCATATTCATCCTTGTCAGCATAATCTGTGACAACAGTTTTGGCTCTTCACTGGTTCTGGCCCTGAACATGTAGGATGTTTTTAAAGATAAACAAATGCAATGCAGGTGTGGATTAGTGGTACAAAGCTCTAATTGTGAAGCATCTGGGGTACAGATACTCATGAGCAGCCAAGCGTTGTTCCCAAATGACTGTCACTGAGGGATTTGGGCTCAGCTCTGTCTATGTAGGACAGGAGTGACACAAAAGTTGTGTCGGTTGACAGACACCATCTCATTCTGTGAACCTGTCACTAGGAATCGTTGCTGCTTTCTTAAAGAACTGAGGAGGAAGGTAGGAGCTAGGAGGCTGGAGAAGGACCTGACATAGCTTGCAGAGCTATTGAACCTATAGTTTCTCAGAGCTGGTTTGGACTGCAGCATTGCCTGGGATTTCCCTGACGCAGGGAAGACCACCACAGCTCCAGCGCCGGTGTGTTAGCCAGCCTCCAGCCCTGACTCCTGCAAACACCTTATACCAGATTGTTGAAATACACCCTTGGAGGACAGCACTGTAGGTACGGAAGGCAGGTGTCTTCTGAAGTGACGGTACTGCACTGCTCTTTCTGTCAAATAAATTTTGCTCAGCCCTGGGTCTTTTACCTAAAAGAAGGGATTGGAAAGGGAACGAAACTTTCAGTCTTTTTATAAAGAAGAGCGTTCTAGCATTTGCAGTGGCCACAGGATCGAGATGAAGATTGCTGAGCTCCTACCCTAACCCTTTCTGCAAGCTGCAGTAGATTCCTGTGAATGTTCTTGAGTGCTTTCCAAAGCATTTGCAGGCTCAAAGATGTGTGTAACTCTGTTAGACGCAGAGGCCGATGTTTTCTTCTAGGGGCCAGTAGTAGCCTGAGTCCATTGGTGCACTGGGGCAGCAGAAGTCCCGCAGCAGCACAGCGTTGCTGGAGGCCTCCTGGCAGCCGTGCCAGGCTTGGGCTGGCCTCACCTCCACAGCTAATAAGGTTGTCAGGCTCTAGGTCTGTGTGCGAAATTGTGTTTGCAGGTCACAGGATTTTGTTGTGAGAGTGTAAGTCAGCAGTGAGTTGGCAGCACGTTAGAGATTACTCAGAGAATATTCTCTCTTTACCTTTCTTTTCTTTTGACGTTGCAGGAAATATTCAGGAAGTCATATTACAAGAACACTTGGAAAAAGAAGATGAAATTCTGGTTTCCTTGGCTGGTTTGAAGCAGGTATAATTATTGCTTAACTTAACTTTCTTGTATCCTTCAGTGCTATTAATCCTTTCTTTTTTTCCTCCTTTTTTATTCCTTTTGTATACTGCTTTTGTCTTGTAGCTGTTTTACTAATACTAATGCATCAAGCATTGCAGCGTACTTTTATTTTAAAACTCAGCTATAAAGAGTTCAAATGACTTGCACGGTATTTGCTCCCTGAATAGTTCTGGAGGCCTCAAACCAGAACTGAGGCGGTAAGACACCAAGTTCTTAAGCCACACCATCATTTTTCTTAATGTAAAATGTACATGCTAGGCAACAGGCACGTGACGACACTTGAATGTCATTGCATTAAAAGAAAAAAAAATAAGTACATAAAATGAGAATGCTGCTGAGCATCTGTAGCTCTGATTATACTGTCCTCCACTCCCTCAAAATACTTTTTATCAGGAACGATGTGACATATGTTAAATCTATAACGAGGTAGGGAATAATCTTAACAGTTTCTCTTTAGATTTTTTGGATACTTGTTTTCCAGACTCTGATACAATCACATTTCACTGATACTTATATCTTTAGCCAATATAGATATGAACATTTACTTCCTCCCTATCTCTTCAAAGCAAATATTTTGGGGAAATGGTGTATGAAAGCATGCTGCACAGAGCTTTAGAAAATTTAGAATTCCTCCAAATTTCTAACCTACATTCTATCACCTCCCATTCAACAACAGATCAAGGACATCCTGAAAGGTTCCCTGCGTTTCAACCAGAGCCAGCTGGAAGCTGAAGAAAATGAGCAAATCACGATAGCGGATGATCATTACTGTTCCAACAGTCAGAACAAGGGGACAGGTGATGTCCTAAAGGGACCTGTCATGACAAAACAACAGTTCATCTCAGGACGACAGGTAAGATCAAAATATCTCAAACAGGTCATTGATGGAATTAGTCTGATATTATTTGGAGACTTCCTTTAGCATGTCCAGACATTATATGGGAACACACCAGCATTGGTTAAAAGTTTCTCTCTAGCTACCGTCTTAGCCCCATCAATGATTTTTATTATGCTCTACACACAGATACTAAAGTCTAAGTGTTACGTAGTGGTTGGGGAGTTCTTCTTTCAGATTGCTGAGTCACAGAGTCACAGATTAATTTCCTACAAAAACGTGTAAAAACTGGAGGTAAATGTTCCCATATCAATTGATTATTCTCATTGTCCTTGTCCTCCAGAATCCCATTATGTAAGAGCTGATTATCTGCATTGCAGTGTATCCACGGCCAGTGCCAAAAAGGAAGTAGGGGGGAGGTTGCTTTTGCCTTCTACTCCATTGTATTGACTTTCTCCTTGAATCAGTAAACAATGTTTTCACATACAAAGCGTACAGTCACAGAACAAGTTCACACACAGAAAGAGGTATTTTCCTTTCGTGTTAGAAGGTCTCTCTCTGTCTAAGACTCAGTCTGACTCAAATGTGATCTTAAAAAGAAGTACTTTTGTATATGCACACGTCTATAACATTTTCAATATTAGAGTTCTGAAGTTAAGTCTGCCACCCCGATACTGATACTCACACTCGTAAATCCAGTGGTAGCACTATCACCTCGGAGTCTAACTGAGTCTGCAATCATTTTAATCTTGACAAATTTAATTAGGAACTAGAGGAAATATTTATTCATTTTCAAATAATGACACAGGGTTGTTTTGATTTATTACACACAATCCCCTTGCGTTAGCACACTCTATGTTAAAAATCATATTTAATTGTATTTCAGTATTAGAAGCGATACTGAGATTGTGGGTTTTTTTACTTAGTAACAGCAGGTTCAAAGAGCAAAGCTTTGCTAGAAAGCTTTCATTGCTTCTTTAGCTGTTGTCATTACAGTCACTACTTTCTGCTGTAATAAAGGCATAGGTTAAACTGATGTAGCATATTGGAGTGTTCATGTAATGACCTATTTTTGCCCTTTATCTCCCAGCATTTTATATAAAGTATCTTTTGCTTTCTTGCCAAAATGGCAAATACTACTTTTTTGGACTATTTTTACTTGGATTTATTATAGAAACTGGAAGGTAGAATGCTATATAAGATAACAATGTGCTGTATGAGTGTGTGCAGGCCCTACTGGTGCTGGAGAAGCCCTTACTCAGATGCTGGTCTAAGCTGTGTGCCACTGCGCGGAGGCACTGGGGCGTTGCACTTTGAGTATTGGGAGTGGAACAGGTGAAGCCTGGTCTGCGCAGGTTTCTTCCCAATGGAAATTTGCAGGGTGATGCGTAATGAGGTCTCACCCCAGTGTGTAGTCAAATTATACATCCAGCCACAGGAGCTGAGAGGTGTCCGTGGGTCCCACAATTTCCATGTACTCCATGAGGCTGCTAGTAAGCCAACTATGAGCAACGTGAGTAGCGGTTGTACAAGATGAGCTCCTGCAGAGCATTAATGAGGCTTCAGCACTGTATGGTCTACGTTTGGAGGTGCAATACATTCATACGGATTAGCCTCCTCTCCTCCTATGTTCTGGAAGTTCCAATTGTGATAATGAGCAGCAGCCCCTACGACAGAAAGAAAAAGAAAAGATTAGGGTTAGAAACAGCAGTCCAGGAGGACTGTTAGTACCCCGACAGTCTGTGCTGTTTCCAAGCCCATCGTCTTTAACCACGGTGTCTAAAATCAACCAAAAAGAGGAGAGCTTTGGACCCCTTTTAATAAAACACGGGAAAATAAAACTACTGAATTTAGTGGGCTATGACATTCGACTGTTAATTGATGGGGTCAATTGTTGGCCCAAACTGGGCCACAGCCTAAGCTTTTAGCTCTCCTGAAGAAAATGGGCTGCACTGATGCCCTGGGTCAAGCCAGGAGTATTTACTTAGAGCTGCAGGGGGATAAAAAATTCCAACCGCTTCTAGACCATTTAATTCATTTCTTGCTAAATAAATTTTACTGCATTTACATTTTCTGTGACTTTGGTAATGCATGTAATTCTGTTTGATGTGACTTATACTGTCACAGAAAATCAGAGATTTTTCTCTGGTGGAATTGTAGGGATGTTTTCTAGGACAGCTGGAAAAGTTACAGGTGTAGCTATCGTGTAATTGAGATTAAAATCTGGTCTTTTGTGCTTGGTTGTTATATAAGTATAAATTATTTATCATCTTCCTTTTTTTTAAAAGTGCTCTTCCTCTTTTTTGCCTCAAAATCCCTTTCTGGAAAGTGAGGATAAGGATACAGCCTTTCTTTGGAAAGGAAAGCTGCAAAATTAAAAATGAAAAAAAATTAAGATGAAGGCTCAAAGAAATAGAGCATTTTTTTGAATGTTTGGCTTTGGTAGCAGCGTGCAGTTGACAAACAGAAGGCTTCTGTTGCTAAATAATGAATGATAATTAACACATTATCTTGCCTTTATCTCTGTTCAAAGAAGGAGGCAAAATGAGCTGCTGTTCTTCTAAGCTTTCTTGAATTGTAACTCATTCACAGTATGAAGGCAATTGAAATAAGCCTGGTCCTAGTAGCTGATATTCGTCAGGAAAAAATGTTTGGAGAAGCCATATGGCAACGGGCGTAAGGTTGTTAACTTTCAAAGCTACTGGAAGTATAATTCTGTCATTTTTCATTTATTCAGTAGTGGCAGCAGATGGGAGAAAACATGGTTCACGTCAGCATGAGTTTCCTGAAACAGAAACAGGCAGAAGAAGAAGGGAGGAGGTATTTTACCTCTGGAAATATCAGTACCAAAATACCAATGTATACCAGGGATAGGCAAACATTTACGGGAAGAGGCCCTTTATAGCATTTTGGAGTCAGTATCTATGCTTTGCTGCTTCTCTGATACTTCAGTGAGCTATAGGTCTCTTTAACTGAACCAAAAAATGTGGGTAGAATGAAAAGTCGCGTTGCAAAGCACAACATGGATCAACAAGAAACTGGGGTGAGTAGTTTTCTTTCCTTTCCCTTCATTAAAGGGCAGGATGCTTTTTTTAACTGCTCAAGAACACATTTTTGGAAGCAGAATTTAGGAAATTGCAACACCAGCACAAAGTGTTTATGAGAGAGGGCCCTTGCTGGGGCTCACTGCCAAGAGGAAGACACCCCGTTATCATCCTTGGGGGTGCCAGCGAGGAAAATACCGATCTCACTGGGCAAGTGTGTCACTAGGTAACATCTGTGTCGCCCTACGCAAGGTGGAGCCATCTCGGATGCGAGGGCTGCGAGGACTGAAATAGCGTGATCTTGATAGCTTGGAATAATGAAGTGTATAATTTTGCAAAATGAGACTGTACTGCATTCCCTGAGAGCTTTTAAATAGAGGTGTGGAAAGAAGCCAGGTGAATTATGCAACGGTGATTGTTCAAAGGAACATATATTTCTGTTGTCTGGGGGTGGGGGGGAGATGAGGTGCTGAAATTTTGAACATGGCATTTGGAGCTCCCAGAAAAACTCACCTGGCCCTGTCTTGCGGCTGCACTGGGTGCTACAAAATCGGGCGACTACTAACACGTTGGTGGAGCAGAGCCAGGGTTGTGCGCTGCCGGTGTCCTCGGCCCCCTGGGGATGGCAGCCGATTGACTGACAGCTCATGAGGACAGCATTTCAAACAGACCAGATGAAAGCAAAAGGCTAATTAATAACAAATGATGTCTCAGCTCAGAAGTGCTTAAATAGTGAAGTATCCCTCCTTGTAGGATAGATCTGTTCATTTTTAACTTCATGGAAAGTGCTTGAAGTTGTTGACATTTGAACTACCCTGGTTCTGCGTGGATCAGGGAGCTTGAGATCAGTTTTGGTAGCACTCAGCACAGGATAGTTGTTGATATTTTTAAAAGCAATCTGCTCGGTTTGGTATGAATTTTATTAAGTCATCTGAGGAAAATTAATGAGTATCAAAAAATAATAGATGTACGTTTCTATCAGTTTGACAACTGTCTTACACTGGGACCTTTAAAATTGTAACCAATACTCTGGAATTAAGATGAATGAGAAATTATTAAAATGGGTTAGTTGCAATACAAAATACTATATATTATTATACCTAGATAGTAATACAGTATTATTATACCTAGATACTATCTAGATAACACACAAAAAATTATAAATTATAAAAACAAGATGTTTTAAAAATATACTGCAAAGGGAGATATTTGAATCCTCATTTATATAAATTTTGGAAGGGAACAGGTCACAATTCTGTATTTGAACATATTTGCACATTCAGATGATATTTATCTTGCTTGGGACTTTTAACAATTTGGAACAACTATGTAAATAACAACCAAAAACTTCCAGCTCCCTCATTTCATATTACAGTCATTCTTAATCACTGGTGGGTTTTGCTCCCTGAGCTACTTTACAGTTCCCTTTCAAGAGAGTTCTGCTCTGTAATCAGTAATCAGGGCAATGGAAAATTGTTTTCAGCTGTAATAATAAATTCAGCAAGATAAGTTTTGCTGGAGGCCATGGATACCGTAACTCCAAGTTGTGGCTTGCTGATACTTGTGATGACCTCCATACTCCAATTTTATATACTGTGCTGAGAAATGAGATAATTTTATCTCATTCCGATTCTTCCTGTTGTTCTTTTTTGTTAGTGCTTTCTTGTTTTCTCTAATATACCTACAATCTCTCTTTTACCCCAAAGTGAATTTACATTTTTTTGTTTGGTGAAAGAGTCACAGCTGAAGGGCTTGTAGTTGACACACACGTTGACATACACATTTCTCTAGCTGCCCCTCTACTTCTTCTCCTTTTTCTCAGTCTCGCATTAGTAATCAAATGTATTGGTTTCAATATCACACCACTTCAGGATGCTTGTCCCCACAGGCTGCTTGGCAGGTTGCATTATTACGCTGAAAAAATTTGTGTGACAGCAACTAGGAAAGCAGTCACATTCTTGTCAGAGGAACATAGTGCTAGATAGGAATTGAATGCATCTCTTGCAGAAGAAAACAAAGTGTTGTCCATTTGGATTGCAACCAAGCTAATAGGCTGCCGGTTGTCAACAAGTGAGAAATCCCACTCTGCTGTATATGGCAGTTTCCCTTCTAATTACGTATAGCTCTAACTGTTGAAAAGCTAGATTTCTTCTGAATATGGCTAGTTGGAATATAAGATTGCCAGTTCGTAGAGAGTTTTCTGGTACACTGACGCGTAGTCTTGATCCACTATCTGAGTACTCAGGGACACACGTTTTCCCAAGGTCTAACCAGACAGAAGAGGAATTCCTGGACCCTTGTTTTCTGATACAGTTAGGAAATACTCGACGACACTAAGCCTAGAAGCCCTGGGAGCCCTGATCTGCCAAACCTGGAGTGGTGCACACTAAACCAGGTCTATGTACAGCTCAAATTCCACAGGTCAGGGTTTTACTAGGAAATTTTGTGTCAAACCATTCTCCTGACAAGCTCCAAAATGCCATTGTGCATGCAAACCAGCAAAAAATTCCTCAACTTCATGAATTACTACAGAAAACTAACAGCAGTGAGAATATAATTACTGAAAACCTTCATGACTGTAAGGTATGTGTTAGATGCCTAGCTGCTGTGATCACTACATGGATGCACTATATATAAAACATGTAAGGCTGCTATACCAAATAATGTATTTTTAGAGCGTTAGCTTTTATGCTTTTGTAAAAACAAATAAATTATTTCATCCAAAGTTAATACCCACTTTATTTTTTACTTCTTGATTTGGGCATTGCTACTTTTGGATAATGATTATTCCTTTATCCCATTCCCATATCACTGACATGCATCATAAACCTCGTTAAGTGGTAAAACTGATACTAACTTTAAGTCCTTTCTGTGCCGTTGTCTCACAGACTACAGCTGATTCAAGCGCTAGTGAGAGCAAGAGCGCTGATGACTATATTATGGTTTCCAAAGAAGAGGAAGGAAGTAGAAGTGCTGTCCCGGAGCCAGCGCAGTCCCATCACGCACACAAGGAGGCAGCAGTGAAGCCAGAAGCTCCATCTCGTTCTTCTTTGATATTCTCTGACCCACTGATGGGCTCCATTTCAGCCTCCTCCAGCAACCTGAGCTCCAGCCCTGACGACGACAGTAGTAATAACAGCAAAGATTCTGACTTTGCTATTGTCAGCCCACTAGACATCTAAAGAAACAGGTTGGGAGAGTTTGGAAGGTCAGTCGTTACACCTCAGCTCAAATTCCTATGATTCCACGGGCTGGATAGTTCTTTGGATCAGAAGGACAGAAAACGGATAAAGGTAACCCATTTCAGCTGCCAAAAGCCTAAGTTAAAAAAAAAAAACAAACAACAACAACAACAAACCAAAACCCACAAATTTGCAAATCTCCAAAAAGAATAGATATCTTTTAATAACTGCCTTAAATAAAGACCCAGTAAAACCCGGTTCTAATATACAGTTATTCTTAGTTATAGAGTTATCTTACTTAGGAGCTTTGTTACTATAGAACTGTTGCTTTCCCAAAACATAGAATAGTATGTGCTAGATACCATAATGGATTAGGAAATGTGTAGATACTTGGCATCAGACCTCAAGCAGCAAAGACAAGCTAGATTTAATATCATCCTTTTATGGATGAAATATGCTCAACTGGGTTTTCTGAGCAGGAAAGGGTACTGTTTCTTCAGAGGCTGTGATTAGAGAAGTAGGGAATGTATGTCAGAAAGGTTAAAAGCATCATCCTGGCAGTAAGCTTGTTCTCAGTTGAGGAATCCTAGTTTCTTCATTTTCATCCGGCAGTAGCCTGAGGTGTGTTCAAGGCAGAGATTTGTGTAGTTGTTCCTCAGCACTGTCTTACAGGAGAACGTGTGACAAATTCCTTGAGAACGGGGACTTATACAACAGAGCCTTATTTCCCTTTGCCTACTTTTTTTCCCCTTGAGAGTTCCCAGTTCATCTTTTCCCTCTTCTGTCTACTTTTACTCCCGCTAGCATTTTTATTTTACTGAGATTACCACAGTTAAAACAGTAGGTGCAAGGGAAATTACAATATTTCATAGTGTAGACCTGAGCCAGTTGAACTAAAACTAGCTTGAGTATGATAACTTACCAGGGAAGGGTGCAAAGTGAAATGAAATGTACATAATTAAAAGCACTTTATGTCTTGTTACTATTATCTTCTATAGACTCTGTTTACATATATTCCTATACAATTTCCACATTTCTAGTCAAGAAAAACATAATGGTGCAGCAGCGTTAACCAACAGAAAGTTTCTAATTAACTCTAGAACTTGTTCTTCTATGGAAAAGTGTATTTCTTTCTCACAGTACATCTAATAACAGTTTTTTCAAGTAGATACAGGGGGGGTTTTGTACTTGCTGATACCTTTAAATTCTGTTGGAATTCACAAAAAGAAACCGGTGGTGAGTGGACGCCTGCTCTTGTAGGACCTACACAGAACTAGCTTGAGGAAGGAATGCTAGAAAGCCACTCTACTTATAACAACAGCAAAAAAAATTGCATTATTTACTTTTAAGATACTTATACATTATGCCATGCAACAACTTCAGAATTGCACAGCAAAGCTTGTGTTTGTATGGAGTTAAGAAATGGTAGTTATTTGCTGCTTAGTCTGTAATTGTAAATGGAGTTAAGTACCTTATTCCGAAAATGAGGTGACATGTAGTTTGCTGGTCTTAGATTTTACAAGGTCTGTGTCAGTGACTGCAATGAAGAGATAATTGTCATGTAATTACATGGTAGCTGACGTATCCTTACATGCTCAAAAGCCGCCGTGTAGTTCTTCTGAGATTATTTGTGCCTTGTAAAATGATAAAATGCTAGAATGTCATGAGCAGGCATAGCATCATACGTCTCTGTGACAGGGCGATATGAATAGTCAGATGACTATTTAGATGAAAGATCTTAAATGCATAACATTTCGGAGAGGTGTTTATTTTGGTTTAATTTTAAGCTTCATAGAAAATCACTTTGGAATTCAGCATGCATGCCTGTCTTCAGGTTTATTTTATTTCCCTGAGTTTGCATGAATGCCGGGAGATTAAGTGGCTGTTGATTTATTTAGGTCTTTCAAGCTTTTCTAGCCTTAACCCATTCAGCAAGGCTTGTGCCACACCACCAACAAAGGGGAATCTGTTCAAGAAGTACCTATGGAAAGAGGAAGGAAATACTCTGGGGACAGAGAGAAAAGTTTTATATTCTGTGATACATAAGCCTTCAAAGATTCCAGTAGTTTGGCAGGGGAAAATGTTTTTACTTCTTTTTTTATTTTTTTTAAGCATCAGTCTTTTCATTTCTGATCTGGTTGGTTGTTTCAGGGATCACATTGCTATTTTCTTGAACAGTCGCATTGCCAATGGAAGAGTGTGATTTGTACGGTTCTTTTATTTTTGTAAGTTAGTTGTATCTTTAATACTGCATATTTTAAAACAGCGCTAGAAGTATATAAAGATTTTGGGAGTTTCTAACAAGTTTTCACTAATCAGTGAATACCGATGAGCTGAATGCCTATCATGCCGTGGGATATGATAAAAATCTTCAGAAGCAGAGAGATGATTATACAAGTAAGATCAGAGTGAATTCCAGTAAATGAATCTGCTTTGGTTATACCGTGTCCTTCCACATCTCAAATATGTTGTCTCTGGTACTTGATCATAGTGCAGAGATAATTAAAATTTTATATATTCATTTAGTCAGAAACTTGTAAGTTAGACAGAATGTCAAGTCATCACCCTGTCTTCCCCTATGTTAAGACTATACTGAGAAAGAAATAGTCCTTTGAAATACAAGATTATTCTTTTTCCCCAAAGATGACCTGCTTATAATGTTCATGGATAACAATAATCAGATAGAAAAATTATATGCATTGCAAATTACTGATGAAAACTAATATGCGATTAAGATATGTATCTGAGACTGTTGTACTCTGTCTCACATCTGTAATTTATGATTGTTTAAAGTCTCTTGCATGTCATGTCAGTTGTGTGTACTGCAGAAAGGCAGTATCATATTTTGACTGGGTATTCATTTAGTCGTGGAACTTTGTATCTTTACTCTGGAAGAACATCTAGCCCGCTTTATTAAAGAAAGAATTAACAAATTTTCTGGGCTGTGCTTGTGCTGTTTTCTCAAAAAGGAGGGAAAGCTTTTTGACTAGAATACTGGAAGTATGATTTCTGAGAACAAAGGTGATGAAAAACTTTGAAACTATCTCATTATCTATATAAGCACAAGGATTATTACTATTTTAATCAGATTTTATATATATGATCCAGGGAATAAAACTGTTTGTCATTTATCTCACCCAAACAACACAGAACATTTTCTATTTTACCATACTTATTGTATATGAAAATAACAAACCAGAATTTAACGTGGTTTAACTTTTCTGCAATTTCATGAAACTTGGTATAGTTACATCATCGTATCTCAGTCCCAGTATCTCTAAAGTACTTTTCTGAATCTCAATACTTCATTTCACATTCTTAAATGTTTCCTGTGATTCTCTAGTATGTTCTCCTCATTTGATGGCACTGAGGCAGCTATTTAAAAGATTAAATTTCAGATTTAAGGTGTACTTGTGCCTGGCAGTTACAGTGTTATCTGTTCAAATACAGACACAGCAATGCTAACGTGAAGAGATTTCCGAGTTCTGGGTGTCAGCCCTTAAATAATACTTTCGATTTTGTGCTGCATGTTTTGGCCTTGAGTGAATGTCTGTAATGGTTTATTAGACTTGAAAAGGTGCAATTTCGTAAAATAAACTTCATTTGGCTACGGAATAGTAATTACACTGTCTCATAATCTGTGCTGTTCTTTTAAGAGTGATTATATACAGTCTCTGTGTTAGTGTTTCCTGTGTCACCGAATCTGCTAGATTCCACTTTAGTAGCTAGCTAAATTTAGAGATGAAAGAGCATCAAAGACGGTCATCAGAGCAGCAGCAACTTGAAACGTGCACAGAGGCAACTTGTTTGCCTGCTGCTCGCAATGTATTTAACCGCTAAAATGGTGAGAGAGGTTTTAGATATGTGGGAGGATCCTGCAAGAGGCAAAGTGCATAACCCCAGAAACAGACGATGAGCTGGAAGGGATGCAGCACGAGACTCTCTTAAACTACAGATGCTTTAGGGCAGGAACCATCTTTTTCTCTGAGTTTGTACAGAGCTTTTAGCATAGTTTGCCATGATCACAGATGCTTTCAAAATTAGGATAATAATAATAATAATATACTCATCATTTCACCAGGTTTAGCTCTTTCAGACAGTGAGATAATAATAGCTCAGCTGATAGCAGTAGTAGTGTGTCAGAGGAATTTGGTCCCATACTGCTGAAGTAAGGGCAATTGAAGAACAGTAGCCTAAATAAATGAATTAAAACAAAAAAAACCCCACAGCAGAAACAGGACAACAATGTTGCTGAATACAAAAAGCTATATTTCTCTCCAGACATATATGAAATATAAGAAGCATTTTCTAAAATGGGCTTCAGGTAGCACTTGTCTACCTTGTTTGACTATGCCAGGTAAGTTTGTGCAAACCTATCTTTAACTGGTGCTGAGATGCAGGAAGCATTAAAATATATCAGCTGCAGAGGGAAGACGCTGTGGTTTCATTTTCTATGAATGGCAAGAATTTGATCCTTCAAATCCCACTGATTTAACACTTTCACTATCTTCCATGGTGACAACATGAGAAACCCTGTAATAATTTCCAGAGACCCGATAGGAACTCTGCTGCTTAAGTCATCACGTGCAGTCACAGAGCTTTGAGCTGAGAAAGTTCTCACAGCTTTGCCTTTCACTGTAAGCTTCAGGGACTGTGGCAAGATCAGGTTTGTCTGAATTTTTAATTAGTACAAAGAAGCATTCAAAGATGCTATAAATTATCACGTCAGTATTTCAGACCTTTTGGAATATAAATTGCTACATAGTTTTGAGATGGAAGCATAGTTGTCACAATATCTTGATTTCCCACCTGCTGTGTTAATTGAATCCAGGGGATGAGGAATATAGTAGCATTTTCAGATGAGCATTGAATTCCCCTTTAAAATAAGAGAAAATATCAAGCAAACAGATATTAAAAGGCAGATTGTCAGAGGTGTCATATAGCTTGCTGGATGATATATACCTCTGTGCAATACTCGGGAACATGCATCATTTTTATCCACAAACAGGGGGACTTGCAACAGCCTGGAACACATGGCAGAAAATGTACATGAATGTGACCCTGTTCTTAAAAACATTTTTAAGC